CTCTTTCCTTCATGTATTTGGGTGCTCCTGTGTTAGGTCCATAGATATTTATAAGTATTATATCTTTTTGATGAATTGACCCTTTTACTATTATTTAATCCCTTTATCTCTTCGAACAGTTTTTGTTTTAAAGGCTATTTTGTCAGAAATTAGTATCACAACTCCAGCTCTATTTTGGTTTCCATTTGAATAGAAAACCTTTTGCCAACCCTTCACTTTCAGTTTATGTATGTTTTTATCCATGAGGTGGGTTTTCTGTAAGCAACAGATAGAGTGTTTCTGGTTTTTTTTTTCCTTTTCTTTTCTTTTCTTTTTCTTTTTAACCTATTCAACCTGTCTGTGTCTCTTGATTGGAGAATTTAATCCATTAACATTCAATGTTATTGGATTGAACATTCGATATTACCAGACTTGTCCCAATATTTAAATTGGTCATTGTCTTGGTTGCCTTTATTCCCTTATTTCTGGCTGTTCATTCTTTAGTTTTCATGGAACAGTACTCTCTTCAGTGTTTCTTGAAGAGCTGGTCTGGTGTTGGCAAATTCTTTCAGGTTTTGTTTGTCTGAGAAGATTTTAATCTTTTTTTCCATATAAAGAATAATCTTGCAGGATATAGTAATCTTGGTTGAAATTGTTTCTCTCCTAACACTTTCAATATGTCTTCCCATTCTTTCCTTGCTTCTGTTGTTTCTGTTGAGGGGTCCAGTGTTAGCCTGATCGAATAACCATTTTAAGTCACTTGTCATTTCTCTCTTGCCAGTTTTAGTATATTGTCTTTATCTGTGGTCTTTACCAGTCTGACTAAGATGTGCCTTCAGGAGGATCTTCTTGGGTTGATTCTATTTAGGATCCTTTGTATTTCTTGAGTCTGGATGTTTGAGCACCTGTCTAGACATGAAAAATTTTCTTCTAGGATTTCATGGAATAGATTTTCCATGCTGTTATTAGTTTCTTCATCTTCTGGGATAGCAATTATTCAGTGGTTTAAGCATCTAATGGAATCTAGTATTTCTCGTATATTAGTCTCATGGCTATTTTGTTGTTGTTGTTGTTATTTTCTCTATCTTTCTGGTGTTTTTTTCCTAGGTCAGAATTTTTATTTTCTATGTGGGAGATTCGATCTTCAGTATGGCCTAATAAACTTTTAATACTTTGGTGAGAGTTTTTGATTTCCTCTATTACAGACTTCATCTCTAATAGTTCCATCTGATTGTTTCTTAGAGTGTCCATTTCTTATTTCATATCATGGAAGGACTTCCTAGTCTCTTGTAGTTAATTATCTGTTTTCTGTTCCAAATTATAGAACTTTGTCACCATGAATGTTCTAAATTCTTTCTCTGACATTTTAGTAACTTCCTCTGTGGGGTTTTTTTTTTTCTTTTTCTTTTTAGATGGAGGGGAGATACTGTGTTCTTTTGATGGAGACATATTTCCTGTTTTCTTCAGACCTGAAACTCTTCTTCTACTTCTAGCCATTTGGAGATGTAGTCACTTTTTAATAACTTTTAGGAGAATCTTTCTTTGACTAGGAACAAGTGTGTTTCCCTCTTGTGGACTGATGTGTGTTGAAGTCTCTCTTCTGTTGTGTTTAGCAATGTCATCTCAGAGGGAGTATTCTGTTCAGGTATTTGAAGAGTAGTATCTCCTTTTTCACAGGTGGTTCAGTAAAAGAAAGCATCCCAGGGAGACTTACAATACTAGAGTATTTCAAAACTGTGATTCTAGGCCCATCTAGTCACTCCAGAAGGGTGGAGGGTGTGGAGGAGAGGACAAAATAAGAGGGAAGAAGGTAGGAATTAAAAATATAGAACACTTCATGAATTTGTGTGTCATTAATATGCAGGGGCTATGCTAAACTTCTCTTTATCATTCCAATTTTAGTATATGTGCTGCTAAAGCGAGCACTCTTTTTGGCTTTTAATCTATCCATTTCTTCAGGTTTTTGATCTCTTAGACTAAACATTGACTTCATGATTGCATACTTTCTTGTTTTTTGTTTGTTTGTTTCCCCATGCTCATGCCACACTCTTATTTCTTTAAGATCTGTATATATATTTTTTATTAATATTATTCTGTTCATCTCCCAGTGGATCATCTCCACTTAAAGGCATATTTTCTTCAGCTCTGGGAAATTCTTTTTATTTCTCTCCCTTTTTTTTCTGGTGTAATCCTTTTTTTTAGTCAGAACAATACTCTGGGTTCCCAATAAAGTACAATTTTTTTTAGTTTTTAAAATTTATTGTTATTCATACATTAAAACACTATACAGCATTTAGATTGTGAAGAGACTTTACCAGCATGATATACATCTCAGACCAGGCCAGTTGAGACCACCATACACATCCTCATCAACAGATAATAAGTCTTATCTGTGCCCCACAAGTGTCTTATCTTTCTATTTCCACCCCAAATTTCCTACACTTTTTCTCTCCCACACTCTCTTTCCAATTTGTCTCTAGTGTCTATTACAATTTTTAATACTTTTATGTTCTTCAGTCTTTCAGTCTCTACCATAACATGCAGACAGTCAGTTTATGTTAAGCGGAGATATATGATGTCTCTCTTTCATAGCCTGACTTGCTTCACTCAGCAACAAATCTTCCATATTCATCCACTTTCTATCAAATTCCAGGGCCTTGCTTTTTTTAATGGCTGAATAGTATTCCATGGAGTATATGTGCCACAATTTTTCAGTCCATACACCTGTCTGTAGACATTTGGACTGGTTCCATGTCTTAGTAATTGTGAATAATGCTGCAATGAAAATAGTTGTGCAAGCACTTTTCCAACTGAGTGCTCTCCTGTTCCAGTTCTCTAGTTACACTTCATTCTAACTTCTCCTGCATCTTGAACAAGTAGTACTCTATGCTGTTATTTGCAGGGCATGAGATTGAGGTAGGAATCACTGCAGTTTCTCTTGAAATAAGATTTCTGTTGTGTACTAAACTATTATTAAGATTTCCAATATGGAGTGACTCTAGGGCTGGTCTTGTAGTAAGACTGTTGAGTAAAGTTCTATTCAACTCTTTCTCCACAAGTTTGGTACTGACTTCTGCTAACTTCTTATTAGTCTTGTTCAGTTTATCTGAAAATGATTTTCTAATTTTTCATCATTTTAGATAAAGTTGCTTATATTTTTCAATTCTGTTTTATTAGACTCTTCTTGTGAGGATCTTATTTCATAGCATGAAAATTCCATATCTTTAATTCTGAGTTCCACATGACTTCTTATTGAAGCATAATTACTCTCTCTTAACTGCTCTATGTTTTCTTGAGCTTCTGCTTGTGCCTATAAAAATAGATTAACTTCCAGGACCAGCAGATGGTGTAATGGTTGCACCACTGGCTCCCACATAGTTGACTGGTTTGAATCCTGAACCCAGTAGCTTAAATTCATGCCATGTGCATATGCTTGCATACTCAAAATCTGGAGAGGAGAATGGAAGAGGAATTGTGGCATGGCCATCCCCCCAGAGGGTGACTTCTCACTTTCTGTCTCTCTATATCTCTCTCTGTCTCTCTGGTGAGTGCACAAACCATTTAACAAAAATATCTCTAAGAAAAGTTTGACTTCTTATAATTTTTCTTTCATATCCTGTGTTGCTCTTCCTTCCATCTCCCATTTATACCATTCTACCTGAACATGTTCTATCATATTTATTTCCATTTGACTTTGAGGTTTACTATTTCTTGTTCCAACTTTAGTTTATTCTTCTCTACTTTTACACATTTCTTCTTTATTGCTTTCATAGATGACAACTTCTGCCAGAGAACTCAATTCTTTGCCTTTAGATGTACACATTTTGAAAATTCAGTTTCCAGTTTTACTGTAAGATCGTCAGTCTTATGTCATAGCATATTAACGTACATATCCATTTGAAATTGACTGGCTTTTAAATCACCTTGGAAACTAATTTTTTCATTTTCATATTAACTTAACTTCTTTCTTGTCATTTCCAAGAATTTCTTAAATTCTTTTATGATTTTCTCTAATTCACCATTTTTTCTTTATTTCTTGATCAAAATTATATTCCATAGATCCACTCTTTCTTTAACTGTTCTTTTTCATCCTCTGATGTCTTCTTTTCTCCTTCTTCTTTTCCCCTAATCTGACTTCATTTTCAAATGCTATCCTTCCTTTTGATTTTTTAAAATTATTTTTCATTACTTTTTTTTTAAATCTAAGTCTAAAGGTTTTGTCTTTCAGCTCAGAAATTATATATTCTTCATGATTCAATCTGTTATTAAGACTTTCAAAAGAGATTTTGATTTCCTATATTATGCTCTTCACCACTAGAAGTTCTAACTGGTTCTTTTTAATGGTGTCTACCTCTTCTTTCAAATCCTGGAAAGAGTTACTCATCTTTGTCACCAAGAATATTCTAAAATCTTTTTCTGACATTTCTGAAAATTCTTGTATGCTGTTTATGGTTGAGGAAGAGTTGTTCTGTTCTGTTGAGAAAGAAGTGTTTCTTTGTTTTTCCATATTTCTTGTACCTCTGCACTGTTTTCTAGTCATCCAATGAATTATACACTACTTCCTACTTTTCTGGTGTAAATTATGTAGTGTTGGGGGAGCAGGAAGAATTCTACTTCTCAGATGTGTTCTTGGTAGAGAACTTTGTCTTCCAGTCAAAGAAGTGTATATATAGCAAGCTTTAGATGGTGGTTCCTTTTCCAAATTCTTCAAACCAGATGAACCTGGGACTGAACTGGAAAGATTCAACTGGAAGAGGAAGTAGGAGTCAGAACCAGGGGGTTCGGTTAACTGTAAAATCTCAAAATACTCCTGGGTGGGCAAAAAGGCAGTTAGAGGTCTGAGGTGGTCTTTCTGCCTCAGTTGGTCTGACTCTTGCTGCTCTCTTCTTCATGGTTGCAGACTTGGAGAATTAATAGCAGTCAAGGGATGTAGGAGGGGCAGTCTGGGATGTACCTGGGACAGTGGGAGGTCTAGGGCAGTCTTCCTGCCTCAGTTGATATCACTGATTGCTCTTGCACCCTGCTTCATGACTGCAGGCTGGGGAAATTAATTGACAGTTCCATTTTATAAGGCATTGCTGCCATCTTCAGGAAGCTAACAAAATGAATAATATACTGTTTTGCAGTTGACTTCACTTATAGACATGAAGGCCTTTGTGTAAGTTTTTAACCTGGCACATGAAAGAGCAACCAAGTAAACACCCAATTGAAGAAAACAAGTTTTATCTTCTAAATGATAGAAAACAAAAGGACAGAAATTATAAAAAGGAACCAAATGGCTCTGGAGCTGAAAAGTACAAGAAATGAAATGAAAAATTCACTCACATTTAATAGCACATTTGAGCAGGCAGGAGAACTTGAAGTTTAAAAGTCTGAGCAACAGACAGAAAAGAGTTAAGAAACAGAGTCTAGGGGATCTAAGGAATTAGCCCAATGTAATTATGGAGACTGGAAACTTGCAATTTTACAGGATAGGCCAATATGCTAGAGACCAAGGGACAAGCTAATGGTATAGTTCTAGTTTGAAAGTGGTCAGGCTGGAGTGTCCCAGCTCGCAGGACAGTCGAACAGGTTTCCTGAGGGAAGGAGTGAGAGACGGGATGAATGGCACTCTGTCACAGCACAGAGATGATGCAGTGTCTCTTCAGGGTCGTCTCTTTATTGTGGGCAGCATGGAGACGATGCGGTGTCACAGCTCAGGGTCATCCAGAGACGACGCGGTGTCACAGCTCAAGGTCATACAGAGATGACACGGTGTCGCAGCTCAGGGTCATCCGGAGATGATGCGGTGTCGCAGCCAGGGTCATCCAGAGATGACACGGTGTCACAACTCTTCAGGGTCTTCAGGGTCATCTGGCGATTATGGGCCAGGGATCGTGGTTATATACATGTTGGTGGTCTGTGATTGGTTGAATGAAGGATAGTAAAAGGTGAGTTATGATTGGTTGCTTTGTGGACCAATCATGAGGTGCTGGATATGCAAATCTGAGGGATTCTAAGCTCACCGATTTGCTATGGGAAGTGGCCAATCGGAGTATGGTTTTGAAGGTGAGGTTTTTGAAGGGGAGCCAATTGTGGCATTTGTAATTGTTTGCTCTCTGAGCCTAATAGTAAGAGATTCATGAAAATGGCCTCTCGGACTCGCTGATGTGCAGTTTTCCACACTGGAGTCCCAAGAGAGATACAATGATGCAGTCCACATTCAAAGGCTATCTGCTAAGAATTCTTTCTTGCTTGAGGAAGGTCTATCTTTTTGCTTTTTCTTATTCAGGCATTCAAGTGATTGGATGGGGCTTATCCATTTTATGTAGGGTAATCTACTTTGTCAAAAAACTATGAAGTCAAATATTAATCTCATCCAAGAACATCCTCACAAAAATATCCAGAACAACCCTTCACTACACATATGGACACCTTGGCCCAGCCAAGTTGACACAAATAGTAATCATTATGTTACATATATTTTAACACAATTTAACAATTTTTCTTAATATATAAAATAACCACTCTTGTGGGAATGCAGAGAAATTGGAACATCTGTGCATCACTGGTGGATGTAAAATGGTGCAACTGCTCCTTGAAAAAGTTTAGTAATTCCTTTAAAAGTTAAAACTAGAATTACTATGATCATTACACTCCTAGGTATATACTCAAAAGAATTGAAAGCAAGGCCTTAAATAGATCCCAATATACTGATCCTTATAGTCGCATTATTCACAATAGCCAAAAGGTAGAAAAAATTCAAATGTCCAATAGATAAATGGGTAAACAAAATTGATATATACATATAATGGCATACTATTTAGCCTTAAAAAGGAATAAAATTTTAATACATATCTCAATGTGGATGAACACTGAAAATATTATACTCAGTGAAATAAGCCAGATAAAAAAGACAAATATTGTATGAGTTTACCTATGTGGGA